CTAGTTTGTGGTTCAAGATTTACTTTGGGGTTAGTTTATTACATTGTAAGAATATATTTGCAGGGGCTCTGGAATGCATTTTGATCTAAAGTACTCACAAAACACAAACACCAGTGTGTGTGTGTGCCTGTACTATCTGCCCATGCCAGTGTATACAATACTTTAAGTGAACGTCCGTGCAGATCTGGCCAGCTGGACGTGTTGTATAATGTACAAATGAAGAGAAGTTGTTAGTCTGCTCCAGTTCAAATGAAACAAACCACTTCCCATTTGTCTGTAGGGGACCAAGCGACTGTTTTCCCTCACAAGAGCAACATCAAATTCACAAGTGTTCTCCAAAAAACACATGGGACTAGAAAACAGAGAACCAGCGTCACGTAATTGACATCAATTCAAACATTTCTGGCACTGGTTATGGAAATGTGGCTAAAACCATTGAGATAAATCCGCTTAAACTACAGATCACCACACGATCAAATCACATGATCAGTCTCTCAGTTCCAGCTTAAGAGCAAACATATGTAGAACACTAAAATGTGCTGACTGTTCCTCTTATTGTGGACAAAAATAAAAACTAGGACTGTCAACTGACAGTTGATCGGATGTTTAATCAGACTAATCACAAGGTAAGCTGATGATTAATTATGACTAATCATAATTCTAATTAATTGTGATTAATCCTGCTCTATCAAGGCTAAATATAATTTCTAAATATGACGGCTTGATGTATACCGTCATATGATGATGTATGTATTTCACAAATACATAATACCAGTTCATCTACATGGTGAGTGAGTGTGAATGTGAACAGTTAGTTCACAAATAGTTAATGTGTTGGGGTTGTTTGTGATGATGAAGAGATTGGAGCTTTGTCAGGCCCTGAAGGTCAAAACACATGGACATTTGAGAAAACATAACCTGACAGAAAACACAACATCATTTCATATCAAAGTGCAAAATGATGTATTTCAAACATTTTATTTTATTCCTAGAGGCTTTAATACAGTTTATCACCTGCTTTCAATACTTGACAAATCAAAACGTTTGGTTTTGGGAGCTGGCTCAAATCAAGCCCTGTGTCTGTCTCCTTCAGCTGTGCTTTCAGGGTTCTGAGGGGCTTGTCTGGGTTGGGTCTCAACATGATGGCTGGAGAGTATATCAAGAATGACTTGTATGTCCTCAAAATAGTCTTCTGTTAACACAATTTAGTCCTCTATTCTTTTCAACTCGGTTTAAAAAGTCGTGCAAGGACACAGCTAAGTAGAAACAGGAATTGAAGTTTAACTGTCAGGTTCTGCCCAGAGAATGAAGAAGTGTTGTCCTTACCCTTTCCGTAATTTGAAATGTCTGTCGTGTTTTCTGAAATGTCATCGGGGTTTTCTGATGTGTCGTTGTGTTTTCTGTAATGCCACTGTGTTTTGTGAAATGTTGTGTTTTCACGTACTTAGTCCATCTATGTCCCTGTACGGTCTGGGCCATGGCCACTTGGCGAAAACACAGACTGCAGTGCACTGGTGGATTAACAATAGTTAAACGGCGACCTTCAGTGGTCATATGCAGAACTACACCTTTCAAACCATTTGTGTTGTGACTGTCGCTACCGTATTCCCTCTGAATATTCCCCCTTTTTTGTTAGGGTGCATAAATGCGTGTATTGTCTTGAAGATAACACGAATTGGTATTTAAATATTTGGTACATTCTCCGACGTCTTCAATTTAATGCCATTTAATAGAAATCAGATATTAAGCCGAACAGATTAACACCGACATACACGCATTTATGACCTACATATTTTAATGTGCGCCACGGAGAGATAATAATAAATCCTTGATTTCCTCTGATGCACATTATCTGCTCCAATAACAGCAGGGCACCGGCTTCTGGTGCAGACATCTTCCGGGTCGACCCAGAGTTCTCCTGTGCCGCTGTTGCTGCTGCACTGAGCCAGGAGCGTCTGCAAAGGTCAGTCCACTTGTCTCCTGCTCAGCCACACACACCGTCGCGTTACGTCGTGCATTTGTTTCAGGTTGTGTTGTCATGCGTGTGTATGTGGCACATTTTATGTCCCCGCTACATAATTTCATTTAAACGCTATCACGTGAATTAGCCGCATGCTAGCACGTCTGTTAGCTCGTTTTTAGCTGCACCCACTTCTCCCTCCCTCCTTCCTCCTGTGGAGGAGACAAAAAGACACAAGTGGTTTCCATGTGGATGTGGAGCATTATTCATGTCTGACCGAACACGTTTGCCGTTTTCACTGTTTTAACATTTATTATTTATCTCTCATTGAGAGCCATTCATTTAAACATGTAGGTGTTTTTATTGGTGTCTGACTGGCTCGAAGTCAATCGTTCAATGGAGCCGCATTCAAATCTGACCGGGTTTTTCTGTAACTTCTAAAGACAAATAATAAACTCCCCTCACTGGTTTTCCTCCTTTTCTGCGTCATTTAACGAGCTGACGTTTATCAAACGTCAGCTCGTTAAATGTAGTTCAGTCTTTGAAAGTTTTTATGACGTGTAAACTTTTTTTTTTTTTTTTCAATAACGGTCCCTGGGCTCAAAAAGTACGAGAGGCCATGTACGTGGGTGTTCATATCTACGACAATAGTCACGGTTATAACGTGGCAGACGCCGACCGATCGCTTGGTCGATTTAATCATTAACATAGTAATAAACATAAAATGAATGAATGGACAGGTGTCTTTAGTTGTTATATTTTAAAATACAATCTTATGATAAATTGTATCCAAATCGTGTGCTTATTGTGGTTAACGTGTTACTTTTTAATTGTAATGCGTAACTTGAATCACAAACTCAAAAAAAAATTCATTTTTTTATAATGAATCAGGTTTATTAAAACCTCATCAAAAGTTTCAAAATTTCACAAAGTAACGAATAGATTTTTGATTATTTAAGAAACTTCTAGCTAATAATACAGTAACAACTTAAGAACATAAAGATTTTTTTTGTTGGGAATGGACCTTTAACAATCCATTATTTTCTTTTAGAAAAGCAAATCCCTGCCAAAAAAGTAATAGTAGTAATAAAATTATAATTCAGTAAATATGCACAATTTATGTCTTTTTTTTCCCATTTGTATTTTGACACACACACACACATACACTGATAGGGTTGTTTTGCCAGTTCTGGTTTATTCCAACCAACCAGCCAGTTCAGCCCAGTTCTTTTTATCTCTACTCAGAGTAAACAGTTAGTCCAACAGTTCTCTGAGTCCCTTGATTCAAAAAAAGTAACACACAAATGCTGGTAAAATAGCAAAAACCAATTCAGCAGGGTGACCTGCAGCCACATGTCATTGGTAATATAAGGTGGCATAGGTGGTACTAGCTTAACTTTTCAAATATACATCTGCTCAGGGTGCTCATTAGGTTTTGGGGGGTGGGAGGGCTGACTCTGCTGTTTTCACTTTGAGTGTTATCTTTAACCACAATCTCCACTCCCCTTCACTCAGTGCTGTAAAGTCTCACCTGTCCCTCGTGTCTCTGCCTCAGGAGGAGTGCTGCCTGTCCTGTTCAGCTCCTCCTGGTGTGTGATTGTGAGGTGTGTTTTGCACCATGGCCAGCCTCCTACGTGTTGTGGTGACCAACTGCTCAGCGCCCGTGTTCAGCGGTGTCTCCTGCCTAAAACTGCAGAGCAGCCAATCGATCAAATCTCCATGCATCCGCTTTTTTAGGACCCATCCGTCTCTGGGACGTTGTGCCAGTCCAGGTAAAAATGCACTCACACAGTTTGATTGACAGGAAACATAAGGTGGTACAAGCCATGTAGAGATCCAGAGAGATCCTTTCAAATTCCACTGTGACACACAACACTGTTCACCACGTGTATAATATTTACCACTGGGTCTGAGGGTGACACAGTCCCCGTGTCACAGTAACTATTGGAACTCTTCCAGAGGTTACTGTGCAAACAGCACTGCTACAACTGATAGTCTTTTAGATTTTGTCCATTTATATAAATATATATATGTATGTATGTATATATATGTATGTATGTATGTATATATGTATATAAAAGTATGTATGTATATGTATATATATGTATGTGTGTATGTATATATATATATACTTAATTTGTTTTATATATAAATAAGTGTTTATTTGAAGAAAAAAAGAAAAGATGACTCAGCCTCATGACCTCAGTGTATAAACTGTACCTTATTCCACGTGTTCATTCCTACAGTTTTGTGCTGTTACGCAACTTCCAACACCCATGATGTTTCTCAAACTTTTGTAGCTGAATGTCACAGCTGAACACAGACTATTCTAACACTGATAACACTGTCTCTCACCTGTACACTCTGTGCGATTTCTCACAGATCTGGTGCATAGCTGTAGCATGAAGGCACTTCCCAGTAATTCAGAAATTACAGCTTTTTCATTATGGCTGAGCAATCAGCCCTTCTTTATTTTCTTTAGCTGCTCACTCACTTTAAGGCCTCTATTTTGACTTCTATTTGAACTGTTTATGGAAAAATGTAGATGTATACAAAGTCTGGCCGGGTGAGTTCCATAAATGTCAGTGTTTAGACCTTCAAGGTCACATTCAGGACAGTGTAGCACTCTCCACTCACCATGCTTGTTGTGTATATGTCCTGTGAGAGCCAGTTCCAGCTGGCTGCAGGTGCTTCATGTCTGTAAATGCTGCAGTAGTGGCTGGGCCAATGCCCCCTCTGTCATGTTCTCTATAGGGTGGTTTAGTGACTGTAGGTGTACATTCCTGCAGTTTATTCAGCTCCAGTAAGTGCTGGCTGATCCTGTCTATTCTGGACACACAGATATCAGTTTTCAGTCCCTCACAGGACAAGAGGAGGATGCGAACACATACACACACTCTCTTGCGCATTTACAGCACACACACACACACACACTGTCTTGCGCATTTACCTCAATGAAACTAGACGACAGATGAGAACACAGACTGAGGATGCATGATGATGTGACTGAGTAGAAAAGTAGAAGAAATGAAGCTTTATAGTAGTTTACGAATAAACAGTTTGACTTTTTGTCCTCTTCACCCTTTCTTGGGTCTAAGTTTCTCACACGGTTGTTTTCAGTGTCTGCAAAGACAGATAAATACGTGCTGTTGCAGGAAGAAAAACGTGAGCTGCTTGACCGATGGTTTATCAGTGCCATGTCAGAAGTACATCAGCTCAACTGAAATTATATGAGAGGAATACAGTTCCTGTTAGGATACTTCTTATGGTCTGTAGTTGAAATCTGTAGTTGTAACCATGTACTCTGGACAAAGAAAGTACCACCTTTACAGTACACAGCCACTCAACATAACGTGTCTGATTTTACAGATGACCTACATATAGCTATGTATTCCCTTTGAAACAATCTCAGAAGCCTGCATGGAGTCCCACAGTGTAGCAATGTAACTTCCTGTAGAGGTCACCCTGAGATAAATCTTTGAACCAGCACTAGTTTTGTTGATAACTGCATGTGACGGCTTGAAGAAAATGAATCTGGTGTTTTATTTAGTTTGAACACAATCCTATCTTGTACTGCAGTCATCAGACATGTGTCCTTATTGACCTTTGTTATCATGTTCAGATAACACATCAACGTTTAAAGGTTATCAATCCTGAGATAACGTGACAACCACAGCCATTCAAGTTCACGTCAATGCATCTGTATTTGTAGGAGTTTAAACCAGGTAATGGCCCACACCTTAGCATCTGAGCTGTTGTCCTCCCCACAGCTCTGCCATATTAAAAATGTTGTGGCATTTTTGGGGCTTATACGTATCTTTCAGTCCCCTGTCTGATTCCCAGAGAGTCAGATGTGTCCAAATGCACCAGTTTGATTGGCTGATTAGTGTCACTGAAAGGAGAACGCTGCATTTTCATCTTAACTGGACAAACATTAATATTACATTTTATGGCACAACATCCGGTCTGCGGCCTATATTGGTGACCTCTATGAGGAGGAGAATCTGTCGCACACTCACTCTACTACTTCCAGGTGTTAGCATTTAGCTGCAAATACCTGTGAAGGTCATTGTTTGCTGGTTGTTTGTTAGACAGACATTCAGGAATAGTCAGGAAATTCAGTCTCAGTCAAAGCGTCTTATTTGTGTTTCTGAGCTCGGTGTAAAATATCAGTTTTTGGAGGACAGGTCAGTAGAACAGGGCGAGAGGAGAGGCAGCCTGTTTCTGTCTGTCGTGTTTATTTATAGAAGAGGAAACAGTGGGAACGAGCTGCTGTGGAATTTTCCATAGGAGCCTTCACACCATGTGACCTGCCTGTCTGTGGACGGCTCACCAGATATGTGAAGGTCACTGAGGAAACATTGATCTAGTTATTATTGTGCCCCACTTCATTCTTTTTTTGTCCCCTATTCATTCTTTTTATTCATTTTCACATTAAATATGTTGTATTTCTCTCCTTCAACAGTGTTGTGTATTTTAAGCACAGTTTTCACTCATGTTGGAACAGCTGTGCTTAGGTCAACAAAAAAATCTGCCTGCTGTCCTGATGACTGTTGCTGTAATACTGGGTTCAGACAGATTCACTTCCAAAGATTAAATCCGAACCTCTAAGTATGTGCAGCAGAGAATGAATCACGTATAGTTGCACCAGATATGTTAAATTTAAATAAGAAAGTTTACCTTTAAGTTGGTAATTTCAAGAAACACACAAAGTGCACAATAATTATCGGCACGATATCAGAAAAATATGACATGATTCCAAAAAGGCGATATCGAAACAAAGCCCCAACAATATCACAATATATGTGATATTGTATATCACGTGTCAAACTCAAGCCCCGGGGGGCCAAATGTGGCCTGCCAAGCCTTTAGTGATGCCCACGGGAGCTAAAAAAGCATTTAGTAAAGTCCATGCAGCAGAGTCTCTTAACCTGGGAAATTGAAAAAAAAATATTACACAGCAATGAACAGTATTTGATATTCCAAGGACTGGTCAGCCAGTACCACCTGTTACTACAGACCAGTACCAAGGTGCTGAGCATTGAAGGATCATTACATTTTCAAAATAAAACATCTTTTAGACTCTATTCTGTTTGGATCAGAGTCTGAATGACTTTTATTTAAAAATATTTCCGGATTATCTTTAAATAAAGAAAGTAAATGAAAATCAGTAAAGTAAATTAGTAAGAATTAAGGACATTTTTTCACTGTGTCCCACTGCGGCCCGGTACCAAATGACCATTTACAACAGGCCAAATTAATTATAAATAAAACTGAAGACTAATAGTCTATTTGCTTTATATTGAATTAGTTTTGACTAATTATTTTGCTCTGAAATTATTTACACTCTCAAGAGTGTTGGCTCTAACAGCGTTTTGCAGCACGTGCATCTGCACAATATCAAAGACTCCCTGAATTTTTTTGTATTGAAAAAATATCAAACTGAACCACTTTTGTTTATTGTTTCACCCCTTGTGTTTAAATAAACCACATTATTAAACCCTCACCACCATTCTTAGTAATTAGTCGGAACGAGATCATAAAAACTGCGGGGTGGAAAACCTCTGAACTGCTTAGGCTTCCTCAGACATTTCTGTTCTTTGTCTTCCCTGTTCCAGGAGTTCCCTACAAACAACTGACAGTTGGCGTTCCAAAAGAAATATTCCAAAATGAACGCCGTGTGGCTCTGAGCCCTGCTGGCGTCCAGGCCCTCATCAAGCAAGGGTTCAATGTTGTTGTGGAGTCTGGAGCTGGAGAGCCCTCCAAGTTCTCTGATGAACATTACACCCAGGCTGGAGCTTCCATCAAAGATGTCAAGGATGTCCTGGCATCTGATGTGTTGGTCAAGGTAGGAGAGACATTCCATGATAGGGAATCAAACTACCCAGCTTTCTTTTCTGAGCACATTTCTCTGCTTCCAGGTCCGTGCCCCCACCTTTAACCCTGCCTTGAGCCTCCATGAGACAGAGCTGATGAAGGATGCAGCCACTTTAATCAGCTTCGTCTACCCAGCTCAAAACCCTGAGCTCATGGATATGCTCTCCCAGAAGAAAGCCACCGTCCTGGCTATGGACCAAGTCCCCAGAGTAACCATCGCCCAGGGTTATGATGCCCTGAGCTCCATGGCCAACATTGCAGGGTACGTGAAGTGTCACATGTTTGCCTTGTGAAAACAAGCTCTCTGAATGTATGGTTTGGCTCATCATAAAACATGGATAACAAGTGTTGATGTTGCGTTGAGTGGGCTGACTAGCTAGTGCTGCTCTGCTAACGCTGTAGTCTTAGTAGTGATAGACTTTAAGGGCTGTCAAACGATTTATGTGTAGGTCTTAGTAGTGATAGACTTTAAGGGCTTTCAAACGATTTATGTGTAGTGTTTGTAGTGTTTATTTTGAATATGCAAATTGTACCAGGTTTCCTGATTACTACTAAACAAACTATTTGAACATTATGTCAAAATTAAAGCAAAATAATGAAACTATGACAATAATGAAAAAAATGACGTATTGGAAGAGGAGTGAGAAGAAGCATAGCTTGTTAGCTCCCATTCACCATTATGCTAAACTTTCTTGACTTTTTTAATCTTATTCATTTTAATAAGTAATTCCCGTTGTTAACCTGTTGACGTTGACAGCTCTATAGGGGTTGTTGAGTGTGTGTCAGGTGTAAAGGAACAGTGATACCTGTGTTGTACTGACTGAATGTCTGTCTATAATTTAAGGTACAAGGCAGTTGTGTTGGCAGCTAACAACTTTGGGCGCTTTTTCACTGGACAGATCACAGCTGCTGGGAAAGTGCCTCCTGCAAAGGTGCATGAAATGAGCTTCTGTGTGTTCATATCTGCTGGTCTTGAGTTTAACATGCTCTGTGTGAGTGTAATGTCGTTTATTTTAAAAGATTTACGTATTTACATGCTTTATAAATAGGTGCTGATCATTGGAGGTGGTGTGGCTGGGTTGGCAGCTGCTGGTTCAGCCAGAGCCATGGGAGCCATCGTCAGAGGGTTTGACACCAGGTTTGTTCCCACTATAATAAGTATCGCAACTCAACTTTAACTTTGGTTAGGCAGCAAGCAAAACAACAAAATACATATACTGTATTTAGCCCAGGTGAATAGGTTAAAGGACAAATCCTCGAGATATTGCAAGGACACGACTATCATTAACCTATCAAAATGAACTATGCTACTAATTTAGCAGTTCAATATCTCTAGGAACAGATGCGTATCTAAAGCTGTTGGTTTGACAGAAGGAATCAAAAACATGACCTTTTCTGTGGTTAATTTATTGTACAGGTCTGTGAAGCTGTCACAACTTTGGAGAGACCAACTTATCTCTGACACTAAGATCCCTGAACAAACAAATGTTGAAACAGATTTATTTACTGTAAATACTATTGTTTATTTTATATCTATTTATATTATTTAAACTTGTATTTAAATGGATTTTAATTTACAATAAAATGTAAGTATTTTTTAACTTTTTTTCATTTAACAAGCGGAGTCAATTCTACATTTCAAATTACTGAGTTTTCAAATTCAATGGCTAAAACAATTCTAATCAGTGTGAAGTTGTTGCAGAATGTAGTTGTGTGAAGTAGTTGTAGAATGATCCAGCAGAGGGCGCCACTAGTCCAATCTTAAATCACGTAATCACGTAAACAACAGCTTCTCATTCCCATTAAAGTTTGGTTAAAAAAATAAAATGTCATTACTTCTCATTCAAGTTTGGGTAAAAAAATAAAATTTCATTTCTCTGATTTGACAATCTTTCTCTATCATGATAATGCTGTTGTTGACATGTTGTGACGTTAATGTTTTATATGCTAAGTTCACAAATAATAACATCTGTTTTGAAACTTCCTAACTTCTGTTTTTGACTCTTGTTTGCGTTCATTCTCAGAGCTGCAGCTTTGGAGCAGTTTAAATCTCTGGGTGCAGAGCCCCTGGAGGTGGACTTCAAGGAGTCAGGGGAGGGTCAGGGGGGCTACGCCAAGGAAATGTCCAAAGAGTTCATTGAGGCTGAGATGAAGCTGTTTGGCAAACAGTGCCAGGACGTGGACATCGTCATCAGTACGGCTCTCATCCCTGGTATGCACTGAAACACACACCTGCACACTCGTAATGAGAGTGAAGCATTGTCTTTTTGGTTGTCTTTTTGTAATTCCATGTATTTACAACTCCTTTCTTCTTTCTTACAAACGTTGTTGCCTTTAAAGCATTGGGTTTTGACCTTAATTCTGGGGCAGGAGGCAGTTGATTCAGTTTGTTTAAATGTTTCTTGGTATTCGTTGTGTAGGTAGGAAGGCACCCATCCTCATCACCAAACAAATGGTTGAGAGCATGAAAGACGGCTCAGTGGTGGTGGACCTGGCTGCTGAGGCCGGAGGAAACATCGAGACCACCGTACCTGGAGAACTGACGGTCTACAAGGTTACTGCACATACTGTCCACTCTACCTTCAGCTGTACTGATCAGGAGTTCACTGTATGTCAACTGCTTTCAAAATAAATCTCTCCTCTTTTGAAGGGAGTGACCCACATTGGCTACACCGACCTGCCCAGCCGTTTGCCAACGCAGTCCAGCACCCTGTACTCCAACAACATCACCAAGCTGCTGAGGGCCGTCAGTCCAGACAAGGAGAACTTTTTCCTCGACGTCAAGGACGTTTTTGACTACGGAACCATGGATCACGTTGTCAGAGGATCTGTTGTCATGCAGGTATGAGTGCACAGGGTCCCGTGGCTTCTTAACAAATCTGAATATTGTCATCTAATTTTCAGCCCCTAAATGTCAAACTCCTTAATCTTCAGCTCCATTTCTGGTTCTTCTATTCTGTCTTGTGTTTATACATTAGCCGCTTTTGAATGTGCTGTGTAAAGTAACGACCAGCGCAATCATGTGAGGCATTTAAAATGCTTTGTAGTTGTCAATACCAGCCACTAGATGTCACCATATAGTCAGTATTCCCTCAGACAAACGAGCAAAATACCGTTTAGTATACAATAAATACATGAACACACATCTTAAATGGACAGGTGAAATTTTGGTTTGTTCGATTTTTTTATATAAAACGAAAGTTTAAATTCGAATGTTTTGCAGAACTCGTATATCGATCCCCTCACATCTCGATTGCATTTTCCCCATTAAAAATAACTAAAAAACAATTAATTTGTTTCAGTCCCCCAGAAATATACTTCAATAATTCAATTAAAATCCCCCATCTAAACATCAGACAGTAGATATAAACAAATATATTGATAATATAAAGTAAAAATAATTAAGAAAACATTTTTATTAGTGTTACAAAAATAACCCAGTGAGGGACGGCAAGCGAGACTGCAACAGTGTCGAGTGTAAAAATGTGTCTCGGTTGAGCACTCGTAACTTGGTTTCCTCGTATCAGAAGAAAATCTTCCAAAAGTTGTTTACTTGTAACCTGGAAAACTCATATTTCGGGTAGCTCGTATCTTGAAGCCCCACTGTATCAATATTTATTTTTATTGTTATTTCTCGTTGTACATGACAAACTCTTTGAACTTGGACTTGGAAGTATCAGCTCTAAGCCTGCAGTCTTTAGTCCTGGATTCTATTTCAGCTTTATTAAAAATATTTGTTCTAATCAGGCCATGGTAGAAGTGGCCTTGTCTTAAGGACAGGAATTATTTTACAAATAATAACTCACTGTACTCATGACTCTTCTCTTACTTTGTGTTTAATCTTCACACATCTGTATTTATATTGATTTGAATTATCTGTATTATTATTACAAATGCATTTCTCTGCTGATGAGACCGTTAAAGTGAAATGGACAGTGAAATTAATATTCATTTCTGATGACAAATGAGTGTCCTCTCTGCCAGGAATTATTTCTTCTCGTTTTGATCCCAGTTTTTAATCTCTGTCTCTTTCAGAATGGAAAGAACCTGTTCCCGGCGCCTCAGCCTAACAACGTGCCTGTCGCTGCTCCTCCTAAACCTAAGAGTGTTCAGGAACTGGAGGCAGAGAAGGCCGCACAGATCTCCCCCTTCAGGGCCACCTTCACCACTGCTGGAGCGTACACTGGAGGTCAGTTGTCATTGTCGCAGCAGACACCGAGCGCCTGGCCATTAAGTTCAGATTTTCGGGTTAAGTAGAGAAAACCAGGACGATGCTTTCTCAGACCAAAGGGCGTCTTTTACAAAAAGCTTCCTCTGTTCATTCTCCTTATTAAGGTCCACCCACAAGGTGAAGGACAGGTTAATAAACGCTCGCTGGAATGTGCACAGGAGGCGAGAAGTGACAGAGGCGGATTACGAGCACGCCCGCACACACATACACAGACACCCTGTTAGTGTCAGGAAGTGTGCGTTGTAAAAAGCGGCGTCACACCGAGTGTTTCTTTGAAGTGGTGCTCGCTTAGGTGGCTCCCATGGTGCCACGCAGCGCTGCGTGTAAGTGCACCACATGCAGTTAATGTGGTTCACACATCGCTTAGGTGCCGCACTGGTCTCTCACTTCACACCAGCTCACAGCTACTGACTTTAACGACTCTGGATTTAAAGACTGAGAACTGGGCTCACTGGAGAGTTAGCATGAGATTTGATGTTGTTATTTTGAGCAAATTTGATATATGTATATACATAAATATATACACACATATTTGTAAATGTGTGTATAATTGTATGTATATACATGTGTGTGTATAACTATATATGTGCAAATAAATGTGCATCTTTGTCTGTATATGCGTGTGTGTGTAAATGTGCATACATGTATGTATGTGTATATATATTTACACTATGTGTATATATATACAGTATGTATATGTATGTATGTGTCTGTGTGTATATATATATATACACACAGTATGTATATATGTATATATATATATATATATGTGTATATATATATATATATATACACATATATATATATATATATATGTGTATATATATATATATATATACACATATATATATATATATATATGTATATGTATGTATTTGCGAATGTCAAATGAGGTTGCCAGACTGACTTCAGCCCAAAGGTTTCAGATGCCTTACTCAGCGTAGCTACAGGACACAATTCATATCGCTCTAGTCTTTTCATTTCTGTGCTTGATAAATGTCATAAATAAAAATCAGATTCCTGACATGTACGTTCGTCCTTGGCAGCTTCAGCAGACAAACATGTGTTTCGTTTTGTTTTGTTTTTTTTCCCACTCTTATCCTTGGAAAGACTAAACACTTGGAAGTCAGAATGAAGAAATTGGAGAATCCCTCTGATTCCCTGTAATCACTTGTACTTAGAGATAAGAAGTCAATTCAGTTCTTAATGGTACTGACCTACTGACACTGTTCCCTCCCGAGAACTGACTCACCAACTTATTATGGCCAAATTCCGTTTCTGAAAGTTAATCTAAATAAAGGGAGTAATATTCTAAGTGAGAGACAGAGATCTGGCTGCACCAGCTCACCTCAGCATCATGAAATACTTTTCTGATTTCCCTTTTTCGCTTTTTGCCTGAACCACAGCTTCCAGATGTGGAATAGTGAGTGACCTTAGAGTAACTGTATTGAGCGTTTTGACATGTGTGATCCGTGGAAGTCAGATTAAATGTATTGAGCGTTTTGACATGTGTGATCTGTGGAAGTTAGATTAAATTAGGTTAGATGGCGTTAGAGTGACTTTATCAAGGATAGATGTAAAATGTCATTTGAACATAGAACAGTTCAAATAAAAGAAGAAGCTGAGCAGATAAGGAGAAGCCATTTTATTTGTGACACAAAATAAATGGTCTCATTTCTAAAAATTGAAAACATTAAGTTTATTTAGTATGACGCTGGGAATAAAAAATAAATGGGTTAAAGTTGTCATTTTATGAGAATATAGTCAACGGAGAGAAAAATGTCGTGTGGTGTCCGACTATCTATGGGAAACCATGTTTAAACCATTTTTAAATGTCTAATAAATGCTGTTTATCTTGGTGGAGTTTATAATTTTGTACAGTCATGTGTGCACTTTTCTCAAGTCTGTCAGAACTTGTGAAATTATGACGGGGGGGGGGTTCTTGAAATGTTATGACGAAGTTTAATCTCTTAATATTCTTTTTTGTTTGTCAATGAGGCTCGAACCCTCCATCATAGACTACTTTAAAACGTAAAGAAAGTTGGGGTTTTTTTTGTTTGTTTTTTCGACGGTAAAGAAACAAAATTTACGTCTCTATTGTTCATATGTATATTTTATTTAATTTTTTTTTTACCACCATTCCTCTGACTTGTTGAACTTTTCCTCTCTCCTCTGCAGGTATTGGCACCCTGCTTGGTTTGGGGATAGCTGCTCCAAACGCTGCCTTCACTCAGATCGTCACCACCTTTGGTCTGGCTGGTATCGTGGGCTACCACACCGTCTGGGGGGTGACTCCTGCTCTGCACTCTCCACTGATGTCCGTCACCAACGCCATCTCAGGTCAGTTAAAAAAAAAAAAATCAGTTTTACGTTAGACTTGCATAATGGAGATTCAGTGAGGTTTTTTAGGGATTCATTACGTTTACTCAGTAAAAAAGAAATTTTATTTTTCTTATTCATAATAATCTCAAAAATCTCAAAGTTTTTACTTGCAAAAGACAAAACCAAAGAAATTTTATTTTTCTTATTCATAAAAATGTTCTCAAAAGTTTTTACTTGCAAAAAACAAAACTACACAAAAATGTGAGTCATCACGGTCTTGGCTAAGAATGGGGGAGGATGGATGGGGCGGTTCAGTGAATAGAGTCTTTACAAATCCATGAGTCAATTAAATATTTTGTTTGACAAAGATCAACTTTGTTCAACATCAAGAAAACAATAATAAATAATTACAGGCAGAACAAATGTTAGCCATCTGGTCTACTTCTACTTGTACATGTACTACTTCTTGTACTACCTATACTACAGTAACTTTTTTTACTCCTATCCTATATCTCCATTCTTTGCTTCAATTTTGCTACATTTTTGCTACATCTATCATTTCAGCTTTTCTTCTTCCACCTCCACTTGTACTTCTATTGTTACTTGTGCTTCTACTATTTTCTACTTTCTACTACTGTTTTTACCGCTAATTCTCTACAATTTTCTTCTATCGTTTCATCATCTTGTTTTTGTATTTCCACTATAACGTCAAACTTCTATAACTTCTACTTCTGTAACTTCCTCTACATGTACTGTCGTTTTTTTAATCTTTTATTACTTTTCCCTTTCCACTTCATCTTCTTCTATCGTTTCAACTTCTTCTGCTGCCTGTATTCCTCTCACGACTTATTCTTCCTTCTGTTGTGATATAAAAGACTAAGGAATTTAGCAAATAATAATGATAATAATAATTAGAACTTAATTTCACAAAAGCTTATTTTTCCATTGTCCAATATAGAAAACTACACAGATTCACTAAAAGAAACCCTTAACTTAAAATTGAAGTTTCATGCACAATATTAAATTTCACACTTCAACAGCAGCAACAAATGAAAGCAGGTGTGAAAACCACCTTGGAGATCAGACGTGCCGTTCGTCAGTGAGTGGAGTCTCTGCAGCTACGCCCTGCCACTTTCATCAGCTCTGCCACTTAGTCCAAATAAAAACTTTAAAGATGGCGTCCTCATTGTGGGCTGCCCTTTAACACACAGGGGTCAAGAGGTGACAGGGGTAAGTGCATGTGTGTGTTCTCACGCCTTTGATCACGGGAAGAGGCACACCGAGTGTAGGAAGTAACACACTGTCAGTGGGCTTTAAGGGTCAGGGGAGTCCGTGGCTGGTGCTGTGTTGATCCACACAGCCAGGCGTTAGAGCCCGGGTGGTGGCGTCCAGCAGGGGTAATGACCAGGAGACGGTTTTCACTTTCTAAGTCACACCTACGTCCTCTGTTACAGTCGTCACACTGTGTCTCCAGTCTTCCCACTTCACATTGATACTTTATAAGAACTACACTACGATCAGAGTACTGTGGGACTGGGATTGACCTTGTACTTTTAGACCTTAGTCCTTAGACCACATACTGTATGTCAAAGTCAAGGCACGTGGGCCGAATGTGGCACCCCGAGCTTATTATGTGTACCGTTGTCTTGAAATAAATATTTTTTAAAAGATGCTTTATTTATGGATTCTGATGGATAAATTGCAGTGGTCAACATCTGTGAAAGGCAATTAATTCACACTTTTTTAATTTCAATTTTTATCAACTGTTTAACAAAAACAAAATCTCCATAATGTCTATTAGTTTTGTGAACATTAGTTGGACCAGTTGCTACATTTAAAAAATATTAATGGAACAAATAAAACTTCATTAGTGTTATTGAACTGACAAGTGCTATTGTCTTTCAAACCACACATATGTAAAATAATCACGGCCTTGTGACTAAACAAAATATGCCTGACATTTATGTTATGATGTCATGTCAGTCTCTGTCCAGGTGTTTTTCTCTTTCATATTTACAGTGGCTTTTTTTTTTAATTCCTCTCATAGACTGGGATTATGGAAACAGTGAGAATGGTCCCGTTGTTGTGCCAATGATCATAAAGGCGCACACACACACACACACACACATACAGTCACTCAGACATTAGGGAATCCTATTGGAATTCAGAGTTTCGAATAAAGGATAGGCGCATTCTTCATGGGAATATTATAGTGTTACCAACACTTCTGACTCTGACTGATGGATCATCTGGAGCCCCTCAGACACTGAAGATCCTTGAAGAGCATCCCAATATCTGATGTCTGATATGAAGGCTTTAATCTACCTGAAAGCTGTGATTCACAGTCAGAACCGTGAGACACCGCCGCAGGCTGTAGGCTTGATTACTAACTGTGTATATTTCTAAATATTTGTAAAGAGATCAGTTTCATGAGGATAACCTACTGCCTGATTTCTAATTTTTGTTAATTCTAATTAATTTAAATTGTTAACAGACATGAAAATGACACGAAAAGCACTCAAGATGAGCAGTTCTGGTCGGAAAATGATAAATAATCTCTCTTGGCGTGCTATAAGCCAGACTTGAGATTTAACCTGCAACAGTTTTGTAGATATAAAGAAAAATGGCCTTAAAAATAAATGTAAGTTTAAAATAAATGTAATTTTAGCCAAAGATATCTGACTGTTTGCCCCATTGTGAGGTGGTTAGAACTAGGGGTGGGCAGATCTGATACTATGCATGACGTGTGGTAAACTGGGAAAGTATCGCCTCAGTAACAGCAGCTTTCCCCATGCTGGAAGAGAAAAGCAAGTATCGGATTGATATCAGTATCGGCAGATACTCCGAGATGCAGTATTGGTATCGAACATGAAAAAGTTGAATTGAGCCATCTCAACTTAGAACAATTGGTGGGGTATCTGAGGGTGTGATCTGTTACCATGTGACCAGGGCTATAGTTAAATTCACAATAGATGACTTCATTATTCATTATTATTAAAGGACATCACAATATATGACCACACTACAAAGAAAACCTAGCCTGCAACAGAGAACAAACATGTATTATTACAAACGTTATTTTTTAAGACATCTCCGTGACATCACTGAACATGTGGAAACGTAATAAGGTGAAGTTATCCTCCCACATAAAACTGCCCCTAAACCTTTGGAAGTGTTTGCAGGTATAGAGGCATCGGCTTCAGATCTGCGTCACCACAGACGTGCTAATCACTAGCAAATGGAAGGGGGGAAAAATGTTGTAGCAGCCTGACACACTTTCGGGTAATTTTTGCTAGAAAAGGAACCACAACAAGCCTGGAAAGGTTCCTGTTGAGCTGAGCTCCTCACATGAATCCACTGGAGTCATCCTCTATCAGTGGAAACTTTAAACCACTTGGTGTTTACACTGCTAAAGTTGTGAAATGATGTTTGGCAGTGTTGTGTTTACGCAGAGAAGGTCAGGCTTCACATTTTTCCTCATGTCCCATCTAGCACGATTGACTGAAAACACAAAACAACTGGCCAGCATCCATAGGCACACACACACACACACTCACACTCTTTGTGTGTGTGTGTCTCCCTCTCTCTCTTTCATTCTCTCTCTCTCTCTCTCTCTCCACCTGTTATTCAGCTTAAATTGTTCACAAACAAGTCAGTGTGAATGCAGGCTCCGGGGGGGCTGTCTGTTGCATCGTTGCTGCCTGTAATTCATTACAGGACTGATGGTATCGAGGTTTCCTCAGTCTTTCTTGGTAGACCTGCTTTCTTTCCGTCCTCCCCTTTTCTGTCCTTAAGTTTGTCCCAATTTGAAGCAAGCAGAGCCTTTTAGAAACCCGTAGCTCTAGGCTGAGGTGTTCGCTAATCGGTGTTCAGCTCAAATCGTGCGAAGACTTTCAAAAGGAGATCCTGTGTTTTCGACACTTGTTCCTCAAGATTCCTAATGTCCTGTTTATTGTACAGTGGGGAAACAGAAAATCTGAACTCTGAAATGTCTGTGTTGTGCAGGTCTGACGGCTGTGGGTGGTCTGTCCCTGATGGGAGGCGGCTACACCCCGAACACGACTGCTGAGACCCTGGCCGTCCTCGCCGCCTTTATCTCCTCGGTCAACATTGCCGGTGAGTCTCAGAGTGAAACATTCGCTTCCAGTCACAGCAACCTGCGGCCAAGAACACACCGACTCAGACCAATGAGGTGTTTTACAGCCTATTGATGATACAATAACATCATCCCTTTAACCAAGTTGAGCAGCTGTCTCAGTCGACCAACCTTCTCCTCAGTTTGAAGTGAGTGGTACAGTCTCAGACCACACACAACGGTCTCTTGTTATTTCTCTTAATAATTCCCATTATAATGATAGTGTTCCTGGGGTCATTATAATACTCTTCACTCTAATAGTCTTGGAAAACAGTCTCTGCCTCCGAGGCTGGGCTTTAAAAAAAAAAAACCTTTTTTAATTTCACTCATTAACTCACAGCTTGACTCCAGGGGAGACTTTGATCCATTATACCAGTCAGATGGCTCCAACAGCCTAATGGACCAGCTTACCCTCACGTTAGTGTTGTTGTTCAGTCTACGACAAAACATTTGAGGTTTTATGTGTGAAGAGTGCAGGACAACAGAACAGGCTATAGAACCTTATGGTTTGTTCTGTTGTGTTTACTGCTCTGTTGTAAGCTGTGCCTCAACAAGTTCACAAGCACAGGGATTATTTTAAAGGGTGTCTACCATTGGTCTGCATTAACAAGCATATGTGTAAGCTGTTAAACACATTCCTCACAAACCAATGAGAGGGGAAAAAAGAAAAAAAAATTCCAAGTTAAAGGCTGAGACATTGTGTTGGAATTGTTCTGCACTGAAATTCTTCCGCGTGTGCACCTGTGCCTCTGGCTGCTCGTACCGTCTCTGTGGCTTCACAGTGACCACATGTAGAAAAACATGGAATATTCCTGACTGTAAAATTTAAGACAACATCAGTCTTGGGTTAGAGTTTCTCATTAAGCTGGGAATACACAAAGAAAAATTTTTTTTCCCCCCACAATTCCCAGTTTTGCAAAATCTTCATTGCATTGGTGGTAAAGAGCCAACATCAGCCCCAGTCAATCGCACCTGTTAAAAAATACAAAAACTGAGCAGAATCTGGACACAATTAAGTAAATGAACTGATGACTGACCCAACTGCCCACTTGTGTGGCCAACGGCCAATGAAAGAGAACAGGACTCTGAAAGTAGAATCAGAAGACAACTGGATATAAACACCCAGAGAGTGGAAATGTCGACAAAGTGAGCGTTTTTTTGGGTTTTTTTTAAGAATAAGAAGTAGGTAAAAAAATATGTTTCTAAACACTTTTTTTAATCAATCACTAGATATTTTAGGTGACCATACTTGGGTTCCCAAGCCCAAGTTTGAGAAACGCTGACATAAAGCTATAACCCTTCAATTTAAATATCACTGTAGAAGAGGTGGGCGGAGCACAAAACCAGCCATTCAGAACAGGGGTATTAAACAGGTGTAAAGAGATTTTTTTTTTCTTCTGTACCACAGCATATTACTATGATTTCTGTCAAATTTTAAGGAACTTTATTTGATTTAAAAATCGAATCAGTCATTACCTTAAATTTGGTTTGAGTTTCAGTGAAGTTAAGACTTCACTGAAAGAGGAAAACGACTGAATGTAAATGTGATGTAAATCCGATTGTTGGGATTCCAGGACAGTGTTGCTTTAGTCCTTGCATAAACGTTCAACAACGTCGAGGGGTTAAAATAACAGAGGAGTCCAGTGGATACCATAAAATTCCTCCATTTTAATATATTGACACAGATTGGTCTGGAATAATAACATTGGTCAGAGAGTTAGGACTGGTTTAAAGTGGGACAGGTGACGATTAAAATTACATGAGGTGAGAGGAAACGGGTGCTAGCCTCTGGTTGACCCCTCTATGCATGAGTGTGCGTGTGGGCACAGTAATTGGAGAGGGCCAATGGAGACGCCGTTAAAGGTAGAGTGATCTCCAGCTATGTAATTGGAGAGGGCCAATGGAGACGCCATTAAAGGTAGAGTGAACGCAGTCAGACACTTTTGTTGTTGTTCTTGAAAATTCACTCTGACATTAGACAAGAGACAATAAATTCCTTACGTCGGGTGTCATGCTTGGCAGCAGTTTTTAGTGATTAGCTCTAAACCTGTTGTCCGTAATTAGATTATTTTAATTTGACGCAGACTCTTTTGACTCTTTTAACTTCAAATAAAGTTTCCTATTTTAGTCCTGTGACTGATCTGTTTCTTCTACACGTGTCTCTCACACAGGTGGCTTCCTGGTGACTCAGAAGATGTTGGACATGTTTAAGCGTCCCACTGATCCTCCAGAGCACAACTACCTCTACCTGCTTCCTGGAGGCGTCTTCGTTGGAGGCTACGCTGCTGCTCTGAGTGCTGGTTATAACATTGAACAGGTGCGAGAGGATGTTTATGCCACGTCCATGTGTTAAGCCCAAATGTGTATTCGTGGTTTCCTGCGGAATCGCCAGTTTCAAGCTGGCAAATAATCCTCGGAGTGTATTCAGTGTTTGCTCAGATGTTTTCCAGGACCTTCCAAGTGAATCATTTGACTATTGTGTGGTCCCTCCATCTTTTTTTTCCCCCTTCTCTCTGCCACACCAGATGATGTACTTGGGCTCAGGTCTGTGCTGCGTCGGTGCCCTGGCTGGTCTATCTAACCAGAGCACGGCCCGTCTGGGTAACGCTCTGGGCATGATGGGAGTCGCTGGAGGGATCGCTGCCACCCTTGGCTTCCTCAAACCCAATCCTGAGCTTCTGGCACAAATGAGCGCAGCCATGGCTGTAGGTGGCACCGCTGGTGAGTCTGAGTCTGAATGTCACGGCTTTGAGGGCAGACCTCTGAGGCCGGATTTGCAGAATTGGAGTTGGAAAAATTTTTTTGAAACTGTAAGACAGTTAGAGTTCATACAGGTGGTGGAACCAGCGAATGAACCGAAAATGGAAAGAGTCTCGAGGCCTGTTTTAGAATAGCTCGGTGGAATAAAAGTATCTGGGAGAGATTAAAAAAGAAACTGCTGCTCTGTACATAACCGATCTGACCTGTTCCTTAAAGGGTTATGTAAATGGATCCAAACCTTTACCAAAAAACTCTGAGAAAATTATAGTCAAGGCTTAAAAAAGCTTGAGGGAGTTCCACATTTATAAAAGTGCCAACTGAAAAGTAGTTATAAAACATTATAGAAAAATGGCAAGAAAGCTAAAAAAAACAACATAGATAAAGTTTCCACATTAATGACTAAAACTTTGTTTTTAGTGTAAAAACAAATAAATAAACTAAAAGTGATTGAATACATAATCCAGTATGAAGATGAATCAACTGTATTGTTCGTGTCCATATTTAGACAAACACAGATCGAAATGTGTCTTCTACATTTAACCCATCCCTGGGGTTGAAAGTTTTGGTGCTTGCCAACACACTACAATTGGCCAATGCAGGGATTTGAACCTGCAATCCTTTGATTACTGTGATCTTTTGAACCACTTGCCCTGGCCCTGTGTTTGGTTCCCTCTTTCCCAAAATTTCAATAAAGTTAAAGTCGGAAAAGAAAGTCTCAAAAGTTGTTCAGTTTTTCAAACGCTGAATAAACATGAGCATGGTTTTAATTGAGACCAAAATGGCAGAACTTCCAGCCACAAAAGTAGAACTAGAACTAGAACAAAGTCAATAAAATGATAAAAGAATTAAACTGAAACAACATGTCCCAGAGCCAGAATTCAGCACAGATGACTCCTACAGTGTTGGAAAAGTAAATTAATATAAAACTGTCTTCAGAGCAGGTAAATGTGTACCAGTAAACTCTGGGTATAGTTCTACTCTGAACTTGGAAGGGTTTAGCAGCAGGTGTGTCCGGTGCAAAGACTCTGATGTTTACGTCGACAACAGCATGACTAAGTCCCAGGCTTTGTCAACGTGGTCAGCCTCATGTGTTACTCACTTTCTCTCACTCAATTTAATCAGTTCCAGTAACAAGGCTGAAATCTAGACTAAACTATCAGCACAGACAATAATTCCCTTTTAAATGCTGTAGTGCTGCATGGTTTCCTGCAAGAAACACACACACGCGTGCAGACACACACGAGCATGCATGCATGCAAAGACGGAATTTCTCAATCACTGCCTTACCGAGCAACACCTGGGCCGTCCGTCGGAGCTCTTTCCCAGCAGTCCTGACTGTGTGTTAATACAATGTGTTTGTGTCGGTCACGGCTGTTTGAAATCTATTTATTTGTTATCTGTCTAGGCCTGGCCATTGCTAAGAGGATCCAGATCACAGACCTGCCGCAGCTGGTGGCTGCCTTCCACAGCCTGGTGGGTCTGGCTGCCGTGCTCACCTGCGTGGCCGAATACATGATCGAGTACCCGCACTTCGCCACTGACCCCGCGGCGAATCTCACCAAGATTGTGGCTTACATTGGCACCTACATTGGAGGAATCACTTTCAGCGGCTCTTTGGTGGCATACGGCAAACTGCAAGGTAAGAGAGGATGGTGGTTTCATATGTGCTGTTTCATCGTTCTCCCTGAAGAGCACCCTCACGCTACGATTAGCCAGGAAATGCACCTTCATTTGGTTTACATTTACGTATTATTTCTCCTATTGAGGTAAACAAAACAAAAAGCATGAGGAAGAAGAAAAACTGAACTTGGTCTCAACCAAAATTAAAATCCAATGTATGTTTTTTTCACAGTTGTTCAAACCCAAGTTCTTTTGTATTTTCCGTTTATCACAGCTTCCCGTTTCAAGCTGTTGGTCACCTTATTGCCATGTAGTTAGTTGCTGAGTTAGCACACTGGTGTCTACCTAAAAATCTCTTTTCTGACTCACGAACTTTCCGAATAACCTGCAATATTCTTTCAACAGTCAACACCAACGCATCTTTTTTAGAATTGAAATATGTCTGCTACTTTTTTGCACCTATAAACCATTGATGTGAGGGCTTTATGGATACATCAGAGGAGTCTCCCGAAATGTTTGTTGATGATGATGATGATGGTGTTGTCTCATTGTGGACATTCTGCACTGCTGTCATTAAGAGTCCACCTGATGTTTCCATCCTGCTGTGCAAAACAGATAAGGGGTTCATGGAGTTCATCCTGGCACCGCTCCTGGCATCCACATAGTTTTCACACTGTTTGTAAGCATTTCATACAGACACTTAGATTAGCATGACTTAAATTCATGCCTAGCCTCAAGTAGTGTCTGCTAAAAAAGAGTCTTATTTAAAATAATGGTAAGGTCTTCTTCTTTCTGTCGTCCACAGCTTCACGCAAGTTACTTTTCCTCTATTCTTGTCTCCTGTCTTCATTCTGTTTCTCTCTCTCTCTCTGTCTTCCAGGCATGCTGAACAGCTCGCCCTTGATGCTGCCTGGTCGTCACGCCCTGAACGCCTCTCTGATGGCAGCTTGTGTCGGTGGCATGGTTCCCTACATGCTGGATCCCAGCTACACCACAGGCATCACCTGTCTGGGCTCCGTCTCTGCGCTCTCAGCTGTCATGGTACACCATGTGTTTTGCTATTTCTGAGGTCTGTTTTTGCTCTCAGTGAGGCCATTGGAGAGGAAAATCCGATTGGAATTCACTGACATGCAGACAGGCTGAACATATAAGAATGTTGTTAAAAGACTTCAATAAACATCAGGAAGAGAAGGGCATAAAAAAGTCAGAGAAATTTAAAGCTGGAGACGGACCTGGGTGAAGTTTGGGGGAAAAGGAGAACAAAAGGGATTGATGGGGGGGGGGGAATTCAGCTGTGAGGCTTTGAGTAAAGGCGACGGTAGCTGCAGATGTGGTATTGTTCATGGTCTGGTTTGGTAGTTTAGTATTTATAGTATAGTAGTATTATATATGTATATATGTATATATTTCTAGTTGTTTTTAATGACAAATCTGAAGCAGATCTTGTAAAATAATAGCAAAAACATAGAGCCAAAAAAGTCTTCTAGGGATGCCTACATCTGATACTCAGGGTCGGTTTTGGTCCATTATTGGTCAAAATTTCAGAACTAAACATTGAAAAAACAACTGTAGTCTATCCAATCCGATACCTCAGCCCATGCTCAACTAACTTTGCGCAACATAAACAGAGACACTGTCAGTGATGGCGGCCTACAACATGCACAGGAAGAACAGATTGATATTGATATCAGCAGATACTCATAGGTGCAGGTCGATGTCCACATACAGACTACTATTTGCACTCATACCTATAGTCAGAAAACTTGGAAACTCCATACAGAAGGTCTGGTAGTTAAACTAGTTCATGCTTCAAGGCAAGAATCATGCCAGCCAATTCTTCCACCATGTGGCCCCTTTCAAGAAGTTTACTTAATTTAAACAAAAATAAAATAAGTCAAGTGGAAGCTAGTCTTTAGTGGTGCAGTGTATTATTTTTAATCTTTATACCAGAAGTTTAAAGCTCTAATATCCTGTTCTGGTCTTAATGTGGATGAATGAAAATGATTTTCATTGGAAAGATTTGAGATGAAAGAAGTGCAGCACAGATAATTGCTTCTACACCGAAACTCAAGTGGAGTTCACGTGTGTGCACTGCAGTGTGAGGTGGTCTGACTGCTCGCTGGAAATGTAAGTCAACCACAGACCATTTAGCATTACTTGTGTTATTACTGTATGTGTGCGTTTTTACTTCTCTCCCACCCAAAATGTTAATTGACTGACCAAACAAAACAGATAAATTCACCAAAAATGACATCCTAAACCAACAAATACTTTTTTTTAGCTTTTCATATGTTGTAAAAAAAAATTCAACTTCCTTTCAGGGTGTGACCTTGACTGCTGCTATTGGAGGCGCCGACATGCCGGTGGTCATCACTGTGCTCAACAGTTACTCAGGCTGGGCCCTGTGTGCTGAGGGCTTCCTGCTCAACAACAACCTGCTGACTATTGTTGGAGCGCTCATCGGGTCGTCTGGAGCCATTCTGTCATACATCATGTGTGTGGTGAGTGGAGAAGAGAAAAAAAAAAGATTAGTTGTTAGCTGGATTCATTTCAATTAATCATGAGTAATCTTGATTGTAATTAGTCGTGATTAATCAACATTTCTAAAAACAAAAGAAATTTGTTCTGTATGTCGTTATAACCGAAAGACAAATGACAGCACGTCGATGCAGGTGTTTCTCAGCTGTTCTTATTTGTAACAATCCAAATGATTAAATAATTAATATAAAAAATGTTAGAAAATAATGTACAAAGGTATGAATAAACATTTATCTTAGAATAAAGTCGGGGGATTTAAGTCATTACTGTTCATTTTAACAGTAGCTTGTACAGGGCTGACACAAGCTGGTCCTCAAACCTGAAGTTGAACCCTACGCAAATTCATACTGGGCGTTGATGCCATTTTAGACTCAAATGCTGCAAAATGAAAATGTCTTCCCACAGTGTGCGTCAATAACGTGTATATCAACGACTAGTGGGTGGACTCAGTGTGCGTCAATAACGTGTATATCAACAACTAGTGGGTGGGTATATTTGCATATACAGTGTGCGTCATCATGCCCATGCTTAAACTGCTTTAAAATTTGAATCTGGTTAATTCAATAAATAAATTAACAACCATCTATGTGTTCATTTTCATAAAGTGGATTTTGCTGATGGTTGAGATATGTTTTTAAAAGAAGATTCCTCTTTAAATGTTTTTGGTTTGACACGATGTGCTGTAAGCAAACTGCAGAAGAGCAATCAAACAGAGGGCAAAGACAAGATCTGTTTTCTCTCCTGTCAGGCCATGAATCGTTCACTGGCTAACGTCATCCTGGGGGGCTACGGTACGTCTTCCACTGGCACAGGAAAGCCCATGGAGATCACAGGCACACACACCGAGGTTAACGTGGATCAGACTGTCGACATGATTAAAGAGGCCCAAAGCATAATCATCACTCCAGGTAAGGGATGCACATACAAAAATACGCGCAGACGCTAGCCCTACACCCTCTTCAGAGGTCTCGTACATGAGTGGAAAAACATGGTACTTTATCTTTGCCAGTCACTTCTTTCCCCTGCATTAGCGGAGTGTGTGTTCTGTTTATTTAACCTTTACTTGACCCACGTTACATCACCATTTTCCTGGCCTAATTGACAAGTCATGGCAGAGGAGCTGCACATACACATCGGCGGGATTCTGTGTGGTCGTCAGTTCGTAGTAAATAGACATTCTACAGTGCAGCATATATGGACAAGGTCAAGGGGAAATTCTATAGGATGAGGGTTTTTTTTTTTTTTTGTGAACAATTCAAATCCTCCGTTCAGAACTGGCTTGTATTTCCTTCTTTTAGGTTCATGTGTGGGGTCCAAACCTCTACATCATACATGCTACACAATCTTTTCTTTTCACATATGTTCAGTATTTACCTGAAACTACAAAACCTGACCTCAAGTAAAATGAGCAGACTTCAAATAATTCAATAAAAGCTCAAATCCGTGGTTTTGTTAGTCACTTAGAGGGGATATATTGTAGAGAATTGACTTTGTCAGGGTTTTGGTTCACATATGTGTGTCTCTGGAGTCTCTACCTACTCCTCAAGCATCAGTTTCAAAAGCTAAATAAAAGTTTTATAATCTGCCAAAACCTTTAAATGTGTCTCTAATCAAGCTTTATTTGTCATTGGGTAGCTCCACCCGTACAACCACTCCTACCTGTGCGAGGATCTGCCATTTGCTTTGCTCCCATACGACTGCTGGACTGCTATCATATGTAACCTAAGTCTCAACAAAAAGTAATGTTAAAGTAACAAACTTTACTGACAAATATTCAGGTTCATTCCTGGCACTCCACTCTTTTTCTTTCTGCATCAAACATTTACAATTTGGCCACAGTTTGTTGTCAGGCGTCCTGCCAGTTTACAATACCTGTCAGAATGGCATATGATACCTTATTGCGCATGTGCACAAAATAGAAAACAATTTATCATGCCTATCAGAATCTGCTGGCAGCAATTTCTATCAAACTGGTCAAACCTTGCCATGACTACATAAAACCATCCTCAGGTTGTACCCATGGTAGGAGAGGTGGGAGGAGCATTACCGTCTAAAGGTAGATTCATAGAAACCATTCAGAAGAAGATTGTTAAACAGGTGTGTAAAGAATACATACAGACACAAAGATAAAAGTTTATGGGCTTTTTTTTACAAAGTAAGATTGAAAAGGTCACACAAGGTTACAAAAAGATTACATTTCTACAGATTTTGGATACAAATATGGGGGGAAAATTAGCATCTTCCAAAGTCCTGATTTTTGCAAGCAAGGATTTGCTGGGGCTAAAATTGTCATTTAAAAAAACATCTATTTATAAACAAACTAGCCTTAGAATTTCAGCCTGACATGACCACTAATTAATGTAATTGTAGAAAGATTAGTGACGACTTGAACATCTTGGAAAAATAAGAGAAAACACTCAGAGGTTTTTCTGTGTACTTTCGTCTGAAAGACAAAGGTTCAAGAACATCACCAGATAACAGACCTCAGTACTTACTGCACTCAGGAAACTACTAACTCTTCTGGAAATGAGGTTTGTGTTTGTCTGAACCTCCCACCTGGACATAACAACCGTCCTGGGAGCTGCTGTCCCTAAACCATCATTGTGTGGCCCAGTGACATTTCATTCCCCTCAGCACAGGGGTTGTAAACCACTCTCAGTTCCAAAGACTTGTTTCACTCACGTGGGTACATGTAAACACAGACCAAAGGTACCCAGCCTGAAAATTGGTAATTCCAGTCATAACGCTCGGTGCATGTATACAAAGCCGCTCTCTTCAGATGTTTCTGCTGCAGTTTAGAAAGACTGCTAAATTTAAGTGGTCACATGCTTGGGAGAGGAATAACACATGTTAAAAAGAGAAGTGAAACACCATGAAACATCCAATGTAGATTAAACTAATCTTTTGTTTTTAACTCTTCTGAAGCACAGAAGAACAGACCTGACAGCTGAAACTGAAAACAGACCAAATACATCTACAGTGTGTAACGTGTGGGAGACACGCAGAAGCAGAAATTAGAAGAGAAAAAAAATCAGCCTCAATCTTCACTTAAAATAGTCAAAAATACATACATAGTCCTGGAATTAAAAGGAACATTTGAATGTACTTGTTTTTATCTGATTGGTCAAATGATTTTTTTTAAGGAGTTTATCTGATTGGTCAAATGATTTTTTTAAAAGAAAATACATGCAGAATTGACTTTGTCAAAGTTTTGGTACACGGTTCAGGTCAGCAGATATCATAGCAGAATTCTGATCTCACTAGCTTTGTGATGTCACACCACCAGTGCAGGATAGGCCCGCCCAGTTTACCACTCCTACCACCATTTACTTCACTGCCATGTACAACCCGAAATATAGCACAGATGCTCACTTAGCACGGCTCTAAATGATTTAAAAACTTCAGGCTCTTGAAGTGCGCTGTCAATCGTAGCAACACTGGGGAGACAAAGTCCAACTTTGATTAGTCTCCAAATGTAATGTAGAATTAATAAATAAACCGCTAACACCGAGGGTCATGCTTGTCTTTTTACCTTCTCCTGGGTCTGGCAAGTTAGTTTTCCATTCTCCTAACAGTTTACCATACCTGCCAGAACGGCATACACTTTTTAACTGGGCTTTTCAAAACCTCTAAATTATTAGCAGCCATTTTTCTCCAACTGCCATGGTTATATGAAGTTGTCCTCAAATCCTTCCTCTGTAGAAGAGGTGGGCGGAGCACAGAGACGCTCATTACCATTTAAAGGTAAAGGCACAAAAACCATCTGTTCTGAACAAGGCTGTTAAACAGGTGTGTAAAGAATCCAGCTGCATTAGTTGACCCTAAATGTTTGAAATAAAGTAGTATCATATTTTCCCTTTACGTTTTTAAATAAAAGTTTGCCCATTCAGTAGGACTTCCATCTAGGTACCATCTCAAACCCGTCTTTTTTCCTGGAGGTAGCAGTACCCTCAATCTCTAGATCTCAGTTTCTCTCTGTTTGTTTCCACTTTGACCATTCTGTCTAATTGGAGCCGTCACAGTCACTTTACCTGATTGACATCTGTGGGAACAGTTAAGACTGTGCCTGATAAACATTAAGTGTTTTTCTGGCTTCGTCTGGACCATCTCTGCCTGGTCTGGGTCTGGGTCCACTTGTTTTTCTTACAGAGGGAAACTCCACAGAGAGTAGTGAGACGTTCGGGACCAGGGAGAAAAAAAAAATGTGAAAACCATTAAATCGTTAAACGGCAGTGCAGACGGTCGATCCGCGTCCTCTCTCTTTCTCTGTTTTTGGATTGGTGCTGTTGTAATGAGACGGTTTCTGACTGGTTGTTGTGACAAGGCTCGTAAACCCCAGTGGAGCGTTTGACGCTTGTTTGTGTGTGCGATGGCGTGATAAAAATCAAGTGCCACACACACATTCCACCTTTGTTAACATGGACGAAATCCAAGCTGAAACCAAACACCAGGCTCAGTGTCACCTGGTTTGTTTTTATTTGAAACGTTACATAGAAAATCAAGTTACGAACTTCAAGATTAGACTGTGTAATAAAGCAGGAGAAGTTAATTTAAGACATGGAAGTGAACAGAATATCTAATACATGTCTTTATCGCTCAGTGCTCCTGCTGTAAGGGGATTTTCTTTTTTGACAGTGTACTTAAATAAACAAATAGCTCTGTACTATATTGATCCCATATTTGGGAAATTGTTGTGTTAGCAGCAGATATGCTGTTAACAGGCCACATCTCTGGGAATTGAACCCAGGACTCTTTGCTTCTGAGGCCAGTCTGCTAACCGCTACACTATGGAACTGACTACATGATTAGCTTTGTAACATTTACACTTTCATTACAGTTTATGTTACAGTTTCAATATTAATGTGGATTTGTTTTGTTTTTAATGTCATCCATCTGTGAGCCCAGTTCAGGAAAATAGAAACAGAACTTAATTTCACTGGCAGTGATGACACTTTTATGTGATGCTGTAAACAGTTTTTTATTTATTTATTTATTTGTTCACTCTCAAGCTGTCAAATAAAAAGTAATACTTGTTTTCCCCACTGTCTCTAACAGGTTATGGACTCTGTGCTGCCAAGGCCCAGTATCCTATCGCCGAGTTGGTGAAAACGCTCAAAGATGCCGGAAGGAGTGTCAGGTAAATTTAATTTGATGCAGTGACATTCTTCATGTTCATAAATGTAACACACAAAGACTTAAAAAATAGATGGAAACTGAGCAAAATGTACCACAATAACAAAGAGCTAGCCAAAACAAATAGCTAGCCTGACTTCAAGTTTAGCCAAAAAGTTAAAAATGAGTCGACTGTGTGAAGCAGGGGTCACCAACCATCCTCATACTGAGAGCTACAACAGGGGTACTTACCAATACGAAGAGCTACATGTTTGAGACATCTCGAACAATGTAATAATCAAAAACAAAGCTAATGCTGCTTTATCAAGTTCTGGGACATACAGTAGCATTCGAATATCATTGCAAGTTTAACTAATCCAAAAAGCACAGTAACAGTATACATTTTCACCCTGATGTTGGTTCATTTTGTTTTTCGAATATACCCCACAGGCACTTTAGGTAGTCCATGGGGGCTACCATGTGCCCCGGGCACCGCGTTGGTGACCTCCAGCCTGAACATTAACTGAACAGCTTCACTTTCGACCCGTAAAATCAAACCAAAACAAACTTCAATGAACAGTAATTGGTCAGTAGGTTAGTGTAGAGTGAAGCTTAGCATGAAAAGTTAAAAAAAAAAAAAACTTTTAATTTAGTTCAAAATGACTTGTTGTTGAAACTTGTTGTCAAATGGACAACCTTACTTCAGTAGGTCTAAAGTTGCTACATATTTTCAAAATAGATGACTAAAGGTTAGCCCGGTAATAACCATAACCTGAGCTTTACTTCATACGACCTTAACGACGACATTAAAGATGTTTAGGTCACGGAGGAAATGCAGAAATCTGACCTGTGGTTAGGTGTACGGTGAAACATAAAAGACATCAAGTTTGAAAGGCTGAGTCTGGATGTTTAGAGAACGTGCTGGGACAAATAGAGACCTGTGTGTGAGGAAAGCATGAGAAAATTAAAATGCAAACGAGAGGAAAGGTACAGCGGAAGCTGCTCTAATTGTCCTGCCTCAGTCGTTTGATCCTGGCTGTTGCAGCTGCTGCTACTTAGAGCATTTGTACTTGATTAGAGGGAAGTGGGTGGTCAGTGGAAAAGAGGGGGCAGGGTGGGGGGGGGGACTTCCTTTACCCTGGTTACTGCTCCTTTACCTCTTTAGTTGTTAGTCCTTTTTGAAAACGTTGAAACGCTTTGAATTCCTCGTGTAGTGACAGTAGAGTTTGAATTAACGTCCTGCCTCCAGCAGCAGCAGCTGTTAACGTACGGAGGACGACTAAGTGCAGAAATTGGACTTTTTCAATCGGCAGCCACGGAAACTAACCGGGGCCCAGAACCACCAGGCCATCTGTGCTGTGTATCTGCCCAAAGTCGGCAAACAAACAAAGGAAAACAAAGCCATTGGTGGTGGCTCACATGGTGGAGGAGGAAGAGGAGGAGGAGGAGGAAGAATGAGCCAGCCACCAGAAGTCAGTGGCTGGTGTTAATTTCCTCCCCCGATTGCATGACATGGCAAATTGAGTCTGAGAGCCGTGTATACCCAATTACACACACACACACACAGATACTTAGCAACTATTAGAGCGGTGTAGCAGGAAGTGTGTGTGACTGTTATCACAAATGTCTCTGGGCTCCACTTATTTGATCTCAGCCCTCAGCTCCTCCGACTTCACTCCCTGGTTTTTACAGCTTTCTGTCTCGTTTAAAGAGTGAATTCTTTTTTTTCTTTTTTTTTCTTAAATCAGATCAAGTCAGTCGTAGAAAAAAAAAATCCATCTGTTTCCACAGGTTTGGTATCCACCCAGTGGCTGGTCGTATGCCTGGTCAGCTCAACGTGCTGTTAGCTGAAGCTGGCGTCCCGTACGATATTGTCCTGGAAATGGAAGAGATCAATGAGGACTTCCCAGGTAAGAGACGTCCGTCTTCTCACATGAAGTTTTCCACGTTCTCATGTCCTACTACTCTTCACCCTCATCGACAACTAATCTGGTGTATGGGAAAGTGTCAAGAGAACATTTATTTTGTTTTTCAGGGCAGGACAAATGTTTGACATAATGAACTGTGACATTTTTTTACCCAACACTAGTTTGAAGTGATGAGGTTTGAAGGTGAAGAAGAAAGTTTTTCTGCTGTTGAAACTGTACCAGTACAGTAGAAAAACACACACACCCACACACACACACCGCAGCAGATGACGCAGCCTCTTTACCATGTAGATTTCTCAGTCTTGCTTGGACTAAGGTGATGATTTGTGCTGCGGCTCAGTAAATGGAATCAGATTTTTCCACACAAGCCTCACACAGTAGTGAACTCTGGTTTAAATTTACAGTATAGTAGAGCTGTCACTTTTCAGGAATGACTTCTTTTTATATTACATAACAAGCTGGGTATTCTGAAATATGCAGAGAAGCACTCTGTCCCAGTTCAGCTTTCAGAACTCCTTCAACAGCATATTTCAACAAACTTGGACCAAAGTCTGGTTTATGAGCCGTCGGTACTGTTTCTGACCCAGAGGGAACTGTTTATCTTCAGCTTGTTTATTGTTTTTTTTTTTCTTTGTCCTCTTTTACTGCTAGGTTTTATATGACATGGATTTGATTTAGGTCTGGATTTTTATTCCAGGTTTGAGTCGAGCACACAGCTGACTTTCTTTTAGCTTTTTTATTATTATTAGTCCTAAATATTCCATTGCTGTAGACAAATATTGCTCTTAAGTCCAACTTAATTTCCTTCCGTGTGTGTCCATTTAGAGACCGACCTGGTCCTGGTCATCGGCGCTAACGATACGGTCAACTCAGCCTCTCAGGAAGATCCCAACTCCATCATTGCTGGAATGCCGGTGCTGGAGGTGTGGAAGGCCAAGCAGGTGAGGACCAAAGAGTTCACAACATCAGGACAAGGTTTTATTGGCCCAGCAGAGCCCCACCTGTCCAGGGGGCTTCGTTTGGATCTGCACACACACTGTGCAGACATGCATGCTGACACACACACACACACACACACAGGCAGTCGTACAGTTCCAGGTGCAGATCCATCCTGATCCTATTAGCGGTGCCTGCGCTGCTCACCAATGACGGCGTTCAGAGAGTAGGTTGGCACTGATCCGAGATCTGGGATTTATGGAGCATCTCAGCCATTTTTCTTCACATACTTTTGCTGGGGAATTCAGATAAAACATTCAACCTCAGCACACACACACACACACACACACGTATGTGTAAATATATCATCACCTACGGGCCGTCTGAACGGACATTAAACTGTTGCTTGCAAATATTCATCAGAGTCTAGTACTGCATGAAGGAGAAGTACTGCAATAAACTCACATTCACTACAATCACACACACACACGTGTGTGTTTGCAGTAATGGCATAATAAATTGACTGATCAGGAGGTAAATTGGAAATGACTATAATGGTTATGAATATTGCTTTATAAGTTTCCAAACATCCCAGCTGTAGGAAAACTTCAGTGTCTTTGTTTCAAATGCACATAAAAGTCAAAAGGCTGAGGTTGTAAAAATAATAGATAATGGCAGGAATAATCACAACAAGGGCTGCATCCCATTAGGAAAACGTGATTCAAGGGAAAATACGCAACGCAGGGACGCTGGTGTCTTGCTGTAAATTTATGCTGGAATGTTGGACCGACACTACAATTTTTTTTCTTTCTTTCTTTCTTTCTTTCTTTTTCCCCCTTTTCCACCGTGCAGCCTGTGGCCAGAGCTGTGCTGTCTGACTCTGGCTGTTGATCTGGAAGCCTTAGAAAAGATTGGCAGGAGACAGGGTGGTAGAAGTAGTGAGTCTTAGTGGCTTACAGTGAGGGGAAAAAAAACACTGGTGCGCTGCTCAACTCTCTGGTCTCTCCGTTCTCCATGTTCTCCAAGAACACGGGGATTAATAGTTTAGACTACGTTGACCATAGGTGTGAATGGTAGTGTGAATGGTTGATTGTCTCTCTCTGTAGTTCTGTGATGGACTGAGAGGCTGTGCCCCGCTGTCACTCAACGACTCCACCTCAAAAACAACAACAACAGAAAATCGCAAAAGAATTTACCAGTAGACAATGGATGGATTAAAAAAAGTTGGTTCAAAGCGAAGATCTTGAGCTTGATTTAAGGCATATGTTTGAATGTATGAGAGACAGGAACACGCTGATTATTACTTCTAGAATTATTTAGTATTTAAACTTATCTATGGTTGTTGGTTTGACAAAACAGAGTGATTCAGACAAACACGTTTCTTCATGATTAATGCACTATTTCATCGTCTACTCACATGCTGTTATCATGACTGACTCTCCTGGAACCTTGTGATCAAACTTCCTTTTCACATTTGCAGCCATTTGATTTTAGGAATTCTGAATCTTTAGTCCATCTTTAGTCCATCACTCCTTCAATGCCTCTGAGACGCGCAGTAGCTGATGATACTTTAAAGTCAATGAGGCAAAACTGTTAAGTTTCAGTTGTTTTGTTTTTTTTACTACACATCAGATATATGTAAATCAAATTTGGACTGAAGTACTTTAGTCAAATCCTCTTCACAGACTCAATAGAAATATGTTTTTCATTTGCTTTAAACATTGCTTTAAACTTGTGTGTGTGTGTGTTGCTGTAGGTGGTTGTGATGAAACGCTCCCTGGGTGTGGGCTACGCAGCCGTCGACAACCCCATCTTCTACAAACCCAACACGGCCATGTTGCTGGGCGACGCCAAGAAGACGTGTGATGCTCTGCAGGCCAAGGTCCGCGAGGCCCAGAACCAATAAGACGGCTCTGCGCTCAGCGAGAGGCGTCTACATCGGGAGTAGCACATGGAGTGCAGGGTGAAGCCGCTCGGTCAAAATGAGGCAAAATTTAAATTATTTCCAGCTCTCAGATCTTCTGACTCCAGAAGGTCAGCAGAGAAGGAATGAAATAAAACAATAACACAACTTTCCTATCATCTGTAAATAAGCAGAGTTCACTGTAAAAAAAACAAAAAAAAGTAAAGGCATGTACAGTAGAAATCCAGCCGTACAGATACAGATGCTGTAGATTTTTGTTAGTGCTCCCTGTCATCAACACACTCAAGTATGATTTTATTCTCCTGTATTTCAGGAAAGCTCCATCAGTGTGCATGTGTTCACTCCTGAACAGCTGTCAGCCGAGTGTTGATGTTAAACAATCAGAAACGTAGACACAGTTAGAGCTCAGAGATGCTAACGCTAACCGCAGAGATACTTTTATAGGAATTAGTGATTACAGTAAAATAGTAGGTAAATGAAGTGGAGTGCTTGTGTTTTTTAATTATTTACTTTAATTTTGAAATGCCGAGGTGTTTTCTCCTCTCCCTGCACAAGTAACAGGAAAGAAAAGGTTAAAAAAAAACGCAATGTGGTGTAAACTATTTCAGTCCTAGTTCAATGCTGTGTTTTCTATCCAGGCTAATTTTTGATTGAGTGAATTAACTGTCCCATGGTTCAAACAGAGAATGTGATCAAACATGAAAATGCACAGTAAAACTTTGGAATTAGGGTTAGATTTTGTTTTTTTAACTCTTGCTGCCTTTTCATCTGCTTTAAGCTCAAATCCCCTGTCTGACCCCTGTCTGACTCTCACTTAATGCATTAAATTAAATCAAGTTTCTTCTGTTTATCTCGACCACAGACGTGATAGTTTTCTTAATGAATGTGGCTGATCTACTCCAGTCTGTTTGTTTTCCATATTTCGTGTCTTTGAATGGACATGAAGGGTAGCTGTGTGTAAAGAGTCTGATGTCGACTTTGGTGTGAGCTCTAAAAAAAAAAGAAAATTTAATGCACCTGTTTGTTTCCCACATTTCAAAAAAATGACCAGAAAATTCTCCGTGATGAATTTCTTCAAAAAATAGTTTAGTATTGCCATTTGTCTCTCAAACAATAGACTTGTGCCTATTCCAATGGAAATGTATGAGATGGCACAAACATTTGGAGAATACAACATTCCATCACGGCTACACATAAACACAGATCTGGGTAGTTTTGATTTACTGGTAGACGAAGAGTCCAACAGTTTCCTCCATCTTGACTGTACTGTAAGAAGTTAATCCTGGGACCTGGTTCAGTGACCATGACAACTCTCCTACCTCTCCATGAAAATGACCAATAAGGTTCCACAGATCAGACCAAACCCAACTAGAAACGGCAACAGTTGAAAGGAGCAGATGTTTTTCCACTGTCTCTCTCACACACACACCTGCTGCTGTACTTCTGACCAACACTCTGCTTGTTTTGTGTCACATGGCTAACCATTGGACCTCAGTTTGCTGTCGCCGAGTTCACCGTTCATGACATGTAACTGTAAAGTTGGGCAACTTCAGTGTCTAGTTTTGAAGAATACGAAAATTGAAGAAATAAATAAAATGAAAAGATCTTTGTAGTTTATCCAATTTTTGCCCCATTTTTTCTTACTAAGGAGAGAATTTTGTAAAAAAAAAAAAGAAAGTGAATTGTCAAGAAGGCCTCAGATTAGTGAAGAGTATCGATGGGTATGTGAAGTGGTACAGTGTTTCAGTGAACTGTGTTCAGGAGACCGAGTGAACTGAAATGTACTGTGAATGTGTTTTCCCTTTTGTTTATTATGGAACATTTTCATCCCTAATAAACCTGTATTTACACTACATGTTGGACAAATGTGCCGTTATTTAACTCAATCTTTTTTTAATTTATATTGTAAACAAATGTCTGATGATGATATTTTTGCTTTTAATCAAATCAACAATTCTGTTAATCATGAGCTTTAGGAAATGAACGGGGTTGAATGTTATCACCGTAGGACAGTACTAAGACACACACCTCCACGTTTCTGTACTCCATCCAACCAACGCCCAGCCTCAGAGATGCAGACTCACTGGAACAGCTGTGAGATCGCATGACACCAGTGGCTGTCCTTCAACCTGTGTCATGCAACAGGGAACTCCATGGAGATAAATGAAGATAAGAAATCCCAGGAAAAGCCCTGCTCTGATGAAGGAGGAGTGTAGGGAGGCCACAAACACAGGTGAGGGCGGCCACCTCCTCCACCGCCTCAGAAGTATCCCTGCACACTGCAGCCAGATTGCATCAGTCTGGCATGAGGGCTGGGATAATGAGCGAGATGTAAATACCAGTTAGTGTGACATTTTCACCTACAAGCGGCACTTGATTGCTATTCATCAGCGGAGAGTGACCTGGAGGTACTTTGAAGGGGAGTGGCGGCCCACCAGAGATGCAGTAGATTAGACCGTAGATAGATTTATAGCGGTCGATTGCATGTGTGCGCAATGAGGGTGGCTTCATCCTGTAACAAGTAGCTCTCAGACATGCTGTTATCTGCTCTCCTGCTGGGCCGAGATCTGAGGAGAACTGTCACTGCCACAGCACTGGCCCGATGCGCAGATAGTGATAAAAGCACATGCCGAGCAAACACTGTGTCAATTTTTGAGTCCGTTGCGTGTGCCATTATTCATTTTGCGTGCATCACCTGTCTTGTTTTTGTTTTTTTTCTCTCTACTGTAGGAAGATGTTTTCATTATTTACACATTTTTTAGAAGCCATCTTCTGATGATCTCATGTATTTAAAAAAAGGTCTCTCAAAGTCAAAAACATTCCTAGAAAAAGGTATAGCAAATATATTCCAAAATATATCTTAAAGTAATTTTCAACAGCTGAAATTAGATTAAATTAAATTAGATTGATTAGATAGAGTTAGCACGATGGTAAAGAGATGCTCAGATGTTTGACAAAACTATCTCAAGATATTTAAGACTATGAAAATAGCTCAAGGATTTTGCAGGTTAGCCAACAGACCGTTTAGAGCTAGCTTAAATACCTAAAATTAGCTAGAAATTAGCCGTGTACTGTGTAAAGTCACACATTAAGATTCTTTTATTTACATAATTTATCATAATATTATATAACATATACAGTATTAGTTTATAGTGTTATAATGACAGCAAAATGAGCTAAAAGAAAGTATAATGATCCAAGATGAATTCTTTCAGGACTTTATTTTTCTCTGTAAGTTATCTTGCTCTACATTTTTTTAGTTGTCTTTTATTTAAAAAAATTTAAAATTATTTTGTTATTAATTTATTTTTGTTGACTGTCTACTCTTGACATGCCTTATTTTTTGTGCTGCCTTCTTGATTATGACTAACTTTTTTAGTTTTTTAATTAAATGTGATTATTTATAAATTATTTTTAAATGATTTCCTTTAAATATTTCCTTGGTAAAAAAAAAAATCAAATTCATAGAGAGATATCTTAAAGTGACAGCTAAACGTTAGCCAAAGCTAAAGTTAAAAACTAGCTGAAAACGTCAAAATAAAGAGTCAAAATAAAAAGTCAAAATAAAAGCAGAGAATCTGCAGTATGTGTCTGGGTCAGTGTTTTGAGGTTTGTGTGTGTGTCTAAGTGAGGTAAAGAGATCCATCATCTGATACATGCTGAGGTGACAGCCTCCTCAGCTCCAGCTGCCCTATTGTCACACTGCCTGTATTTATCCAGAGCACTGAAGGAAACCCTGCATTCCTCATCTACAATGAACCTCCATCCATCCTCCCTACATGCAACATCAGACCCTCCTGGAAAAAGACAGAAGAATTTGTTTTTCCCCGGCCTGGCATGCTATTTGATGTAGAGTATTTAATTATCAAATGTTTCCATGTTTGGTACACAGGCAGAGGGCAGACACGCTACAGTACAAACCTGAATGGAGCCGTTTGGTTGATTCATTAGAAGCTCTGTCCTAGGGGTCAACGCAGTGTAAATATTACCATTAAGGAGAAACTCAGTGTGTTTGTCTAGTTCAGTCCTGCAACATGTGGCTCCCGCGCCACGCGCAGCTCTTCCCTCTTTGCATTGGCTTGTAAATTGGTTTGTAAATTGGAATAGACATTTGTATCAGTTCTAAGGCAATTACTGTATTTAGCATCTTCCTTGCTGTAATTAGACCACAGTCTTTCAGACCCCATAGACCCATAGATAGTGTTTCACATATGGATTAAATGCAGTTTCTCTTCAATGATTACTGAAGTAATGATAAAATAGTTAAATTAATAAGTTGACCATTAGTATGAATGTGAGTGTTAATGGCTGCTTGTCTCCATATGTGGCGCTGTGATGGAATGTCGAACTGTCCAGGGTGTTTCCTGCCTTTCAAATAGTAGGAATAGGAATTCTAGTGCAAATATATATACTTATATAACAACAAAAACGTTTTTTGTTGAATATGAAGTCGTTTTGAAATGGATGCCTGGTATACAGTATTACTGACTGGATGTTTAAAAAGTGTCGCTGTTGCTTTAAAAGTTGAAGACCACGCCGCGGCTTTCGTCACTGCCCAGGTGCTGCTAATTGCGCAGTTAATTAATGATAACAGTTAAATGACGTTGGCATTTAAAAATGACGGATTGATATTCCGGTTGGAAGTCTGGTGATTTTTTTTTTTTCTTTTTTTCATTGATTTTTTTTTTTTTTCATTTTTTTAAATTTTTTTTTTATTTTTTTTTTTTTTTTTTTTTTTTCTGCTGGTTCAAATGCTTATGGTCGCCGAGAAGCTGCCGTCTGTCGGTGAGTAATGCTTTTACTATTTATTTAATTAACTTTAGCTGGTGCTGCAGTGAAATGACGTTTTAGTTTTGTTTATTGTGAAAAAGCGGACCTTTGTTATTGAGTGTTGTCTTTGTTTGGAAACATTGACATGAACAGCGTGTTGTAGGAACAAAAGACTGTAGTACAGGGGTCCGCACATTAATATCATACAAGTTTCTTGTTTGAGTATATATTTTTCTTAAATTATCATTACAGTTAAAGTTGTAATAAGCAGTTGGAGGCAGTCAAACCCAAACCTCTAAGTTTTTAAATGCAGAACTTTTAATTTAATTACAAAGAAAATACTAATAATAATTTTTTTTAAATGCAGAACTTAGAGAATTTAATGACAAAGAAAATACTAATAATAATTTTAAAAAAAACATGCTCTTTGTATTGAAGGTACTTCTTAAAGAGCTAAATCAGACAGTGGAGCATATAGCACTGATGTGTTGAAACATTATAAATTTGTTTAACTGCCTGTTAAGCAAAACTGACATCTTACAACTGTTACATCATAAATAAAGGGAGGTTGTTGTCTTTAGACTGCTGTGCATTTTTCCTTAAAATGCAGGTAACATCCAATTGCCAAAAAAGTATCTCTGCTCTGACATGTTTTCTTAGGTACAGTAGTTTACTGCCGTATCTTGTGTGTATTGCATTCAAGTATGTGTACGTGGAAGAGTTCAGCAGCTTGTTTGTTTCTCTTCTTCGGTTCATGAGAGCACAGCAGCCTGTGGGGTTTTGTTTGTTTGTTTTTGTTTTTTGTTTTTTTGTATAATAATCGTATCCTTATCAGTAGAAGACACAATACTACCACCTTTACTTGCCCGTCCATTCAAAAACCGTTTCACACGTGTGCCATCAACAGTCCTGAGGTGTTGTTGAGACGTTGTAGCATAGCTGGCTCACTGTTCTGCTAGTTTTCCACCTGGATGAACACTAAGTGAAACCGTCTTGTACCAGTTTCATTTATCACCAGCTTCAGCATGAAGTGTACAGTACTTGGAGTGTAAATATAACAGAACCTTTATCCTTCAAGTAAACTGGGATTCTGTGTGGGTAAAAGTTGTGAGGATCAAACAGTAGTGTGAGCAGTCTCATTAATCACTGCAGCTCTGCTCTGTATATATGGATCTACAGGTGGAGTGCTGGTTTGTGTACCTTTCAACAAGAAGAATCTTTTATCCTTGATCTTGGGCATGTTCCCTCACTTAATGTCTAATCTGATCGTCTTAACAGCCTGTTTGGAGAAGCCCTAAAACTCCCCTCCCCTCCAACGAGACCCAGGCTTTCTGCGTACATTGCCCCCAAGGACACACACATGCACAATGTCTGCCCCAGACTGTCCTGAAGTCGTTCCGACTTTGACAGTGTAAGATAAATGTAGACTCACTAACTTGAGCCAGGGAGTGACACAACTGGCCTCTTTACTGTTTCATAGCTGCCCAACGTAAACATGGAGGGAGGGTGTCCTTTTAAGCTGCTTTTATTGTCCAGCTGCTCCTCCAACACTGGATGTAAATTGTTGAAGTTGGGATGGAAGGATGAGAGAAAAAAGCGGGGGATAAGGCAGGGGAGGGAGCTGAGGGGGAGGATAATGTGCTGGTGCGGAAGTGAGGGGATGAGATGTTCTCTGAAGTGAGGCGCTGAATCTCTATGTTGTGTGTTTTTGTGTGTGTGCTCACATGGTATTAAAATAGAAACACTGTTTATTGAAACATCTGACCAGACTGCTTGGCATCAGTCTGTTATGGGCCAAAGGGAAAAAAAAAAGAAAAATGAAGAAATGAGATCAATTGATCATGAAAGGGTCCAAAATGGACAATGCAGTCTAAGTAATGGTCCAAGGGAGGTTAACATTTATTGAA